TGTCCTCACCTCCCAGTGAGGGCATGGACCTGTGCTCTTTCCTGGGAAGGATGTCCTTGTTTTGTTGTCGTGATCACTGCCTTGCTTTGTAGGCATGATCCAGGAGACCCCAGAGACATGCCAATTGAGACAAACTTGTGTCTGCTCCTGGGGAAGAAGTGACCTTCTCTACTCAGGAGCCAAGGTGGACCTCAGAAGCTCCACCTCACATTGCAGGTCTTGGATGTGAAGATCTCTACCAAGAGGAGAAGCACTCGGTCTCCAAACTGATTTTACCTATACGGTTAACTATGGGGATGTGGGGTTATCAGTGGTGCTATGCTTCTCCTAAACACCCTGGACTTCCATCCATGTGGAAAGCTATTTGAGTCAAGCATGAGTGCTGCAACCTTCAATCTTGAGCACTCACATCTACGCAGACTTGGGAGCCATCGATTTCATGCATGGCAATCGCAGGGAGAGGTAGTACCTACGCCCTACCCGCCCTGCCATCAAACAGCTTTTAATCATCCATTTCAGATGAAATCCTTCACATTATATCATGCAAATGAGGTCTGCATTGCCGTCTTTGCTGACGCAATGAACTGAAGAAACGGCGTGGTTGTTGGGCTGTTGAATTTTGTTCTGGTTTTGATCCTTTTGTTTTGCTTGCGTGAAGAATAATAGGAACATGAAAGAAAGGGCAAGTCATCATCACAAAATGTACTTCCAGTGGTGGAAAGCGCATCCTCCAAGCGGTGTTAGGCACCACACTAACCTTTCAACTTCAAAAACCTTAGAAAGGAACAAATGAAACCACCAAAGCCAATTGCGTGTTTCCTATATCTCTTTATTGACCGCCACTGACCGCGTTCTCAGGTTGAGTGCCAGATACCAGTGGAAGAGGTGGAGCTACCCTAGAAATACAGCGAGAGCAAGGGACATGGTGTGTTATGCACAAGCTGGGGAGAGCTGGCTGGGGATGTGAAGCCTCTGCAGAGCGGTGAGCCCCCCTCTCTCCCCCGAGGGCCTACTAAGACAGTGGAAAGACGTGCTTGTCCTTGTGTCAGTTGTCCCTAAGGGAAACGACAGGGTAGTGGTGTGAACAGATACACTTCAACACTTTGCTGAAAAAAAATATATGTTGCAACTCCCGAAGGTAAGACGTTATTATTTCTCCTGAGGTTGCAAGGAACTCGTGGCACATTCATCGCACCTACGCAGGATCTCAAGTGTGGGGCTTGGCTCTGTTGCTCTTTTTTAAGAGTAACCAGTTTAACTCTACGTGGGGTAGAGCAAGTCTGCAGGGCTTTTCCCCTGCTCCAAGCCTCGCCTCAAGACTTGGTGCACCAGGAGCCAGTGTTACTCGTGCACTCCCTCCTACCTGATGGTGGTTATGGACTACAGCACCGGACGAAGACCCTTTCAGCAAGTACAACAGCGTGGCAGCACGCACCATCCATGCCATCCCCACAGCACAGCTTGCAGGTTTAAGCTTCAAAGTCCACCAGCCACACACCCAGCCCCTCGTCTCATCCAAGGGAAAGGGGAAAAAAAAAGAAACAGAGGGAGGGAGGGGGAGGAACCAACAAAATAAACCCCTCTAGATATTCACTGGTATCTATGCAATGGCTCTGGGAGTGAGACCCGCAGACAGTGGCAGGCTGTGTACCACAGGCAGCCTGGGTACCACAGCGGCAGGCGGGCTTAGGAGGAAGGCGCGGAGGTGGGCTTCTCCTCCCGGGACACAGGGATGGGCCTCTCGCTGCGGCTGGCATCCATGTTGGAGGGCACCTTGGGCACCGAGAAGGTCAGCATGCCGTCGTTGGACAGGGAGCAGGTGACGGCAGTCTGGTCCACGTTGGCAGGCAGGCGGTACCGGCGGTGAAATTCACGGGAGATGTAACCGTGGTCATCCTGAGAGGCAGTGGGGAAAGGAGGGAAGGCCCGTCAAGAAACCCCCCGGCACCACGCCATGCCTCCCTCCGCCCGACCCCACAGCTCCGTCGGAGGGGGGTCCACATTCGCCCGGCTTATTGTCACACTGTACTGCCGGTATCACCGGGTGCATCTCTGCTTTTTATTCTGTTTCACAGGTTTGTAGGGGCAGGTGTGCCCCCGTGGTGCCCCTGAAGCTGCAAGAGCTGAGCAGAGCAGCAGGGTGATTTTGGCCATATTATAGGTTGGGATCTGATTTGGACGGGGGCCCTGCCATGGCCTCCGATTTCAAAGGATGCTTGGAGAGAAAGTCTGGGGTTCTGTGAAGGTAAAAGCAGTGCACGCGTGTGCACCCATGTATTTCCTTACTAGGCAGCAACGCTGTGTCAGCCAAAGTACACAGTCCTGGCCCCCTTTTTTTTGGGCCAAAAGAATGAGAAATGCATTTTTTTTTTAAGTCAGCCATGAAAACGGCTGCTCTCTTCCTCTGGAAAAAATAACTATATTAAAAAATACATACTGTTTCAAGGCTAGAGCTTTGTCTGGCCAAAAAAGTGTATGAGAAGAATTAAACCCCTGCTGGTATAATTCACTTTTCGACCCCCACAGATATTTCCATGACATACGTGTTAAAAGTTTCCAAGCCTGAGGCACTCAGTTATTTTTCTTTTGTTTTGTTCGCTCTTGCTTTTCTCTTTCAGATCAGCATATGAAAACTCTGTTTTCACTAATGATTCTGGCTTATGAAAACTCAGCCATGCTTCAGCAGCACCAGATGATGTTCTTTGTCTGGTCCAGTGTTATTAGTGAACAATGGACATCATCATCTGACGGTTATGGAAGATGATTGAAAATAAACAAAAGAGCAGTGAATTAGCTCGTTATTATCAGATATCAAGTTGGGGCTCTATGGGAATGGGCCACGTCGATAATGACAATGGATAAATAACTTGTTCTGATTTTTCTTTTTTCCCTTCAGCTAATGACTGTTGTAAAGAAAGAAAACAGAGCTCGACTCCCCAGTTGCTCCACCATCACTGTCACTTCCACTTACCTGTCTTTCACTGTGCTTGCCATGGATTTCCACAAACTCATCGATAATCTTCACACTCAGGTCTTCGGGAGAGAAGTGTTTTACATCCAGCATGATTGTAAACTTGTCCCGGTCAGACCTCACCTGAAATGAACATTGTCAGACAGTAAGACCCAAGCTCTAAGCGTGGAGGCAGCACCAGCATCGCGGCAGCTTAAAAGCCAGAGAAGGGGTGGTCTGGCGGCGGCACGGTTTCTCCTTCTGTGACTACAGGCCTCAGCAGGGGTCTTCTTCCCATTGCGGGGACCCAGGGACACCACAGTAGGCATCTGCGCCATTGCTACTGCTCTGGGGAGAGGCGTCACTTCTCGCTGCTATTCTTGTGCCGGGGACCTCTTTGCACTCGGCGATCTGCCAGATGCACCGGGCATTTGTGCTCAGCAGCGAGAGGGGACGGAAACCAGTGTAATATTCTCTGATAGCACGCGTTTTGTCCTTTCAGTGATTTATGGTTTCTTTGTGGTCTTAGCTCTGGGAGGAAACCAGTAAAAGAGGGCTAGAGAAAGCACCAGTCCCTGAGCTTCGGACCACAGCCCCCACGGCTACGTGCTCCTCCTACATGCTGCCTTCAGAGAATTGCTCCTGGGTCCTCCAGCGTGGGCTTGCAAAAACCACCGAGCTCCTGAGGCGGAGAAGGGGGCTGGAGGAAGCTCCCGCTCGCCGGGGTCCTCTCCCACGCCGAGCTGCCCTTGAGGGCGCTTACTCCAGGAGCAGCCTAGCTCTTCCCTCGCCATACGGCCGGTGGGCGTGAGGGCAGCAAAGTCAGACTTTTACGTGTCGGAAACAACCTTCAGGAGCCAAAATGGTTTCCAATTCTCAAAGGGAAGCCTTCTCCCCAGCGAGGGTTTCCCTCCATGCCCATGAAAGGGCAGGCGGGCTGTGCTTGGCGGTGGGCCGGACGTCCTCCTCACCCCCTCGCACCCCAGCGCCGGGTGGGGAGGAGCAGGTGGAGGCATAAGGAGGGAGAGGAAGGAAAAAGAGAGGAAGCCGAAGGGTCCTTACCTCTGAAATGCCTGATTCCAGCACGCTGCGGAAGAGGGACTGCCTGTAGTAGGGGCTGATAGTGGAAGAGAACAAAGGCAGGAGGTCATACTCAAGGAGACCCTCTCCAAAAAACTGGTCGAACAAACGGCTTGGAATGAGGGGTCCCAGAGCACGCTTGAACCAGGGGTGCTGGATGGTAATGTCCATGCTTGCTACTGCTGCGACGTGTGGCTGCAAAAGGAGAGCGGTGGGGGCAGTACAGCCGCTGGGGAGACAGCGATGCCTTGGCTGGACTGTGCAGTGCAGCTCCAGAGAAGCTCCCCCTATATATACCGGTCTCGCAGAATGAAGGCATTAGCGGGATTTCTCTGGAAAGACATGATCTCATGATGGAGGCAACGTGGTCAGCAGAAATGCGGAGACTGACCTGGAAATGACAGTCTGGTTGGAATTGGTGCCAGATCTCCCGGAGGGACGATGCCAGGCGGCAGGCTGTGAGACACAGGGTGCCCAGGGGTACTGGCAGGTCCCCTACGGGATCAAGCAGGCTAAACAGGACACCCCGGTGGGCCTCTCAAGGATGCCTGTGAAGGAGGTCTGCTCTGTGGGTCTTCGTAACCCGCCCCGGCTTTTCGTTAATTTGCTTCTGTTTCTGCCCCTCCTTGAAACAGAGACACAAAGTCTCTTCCACGTAAATGAAACAGCTTTCTTCCAAGCGAGGAAAAAGGGATTGATTCAGGTTGAAGAAAGGGAAACTTTCTTTGTGACATAATATAAAGCGTCTCCGCCACTTGAGAGGGGCCTGACACCCCTGGCGCGGGGATCCTGGCGGGGCTGGCAGGGAAGCAGGACTAACACATGATGCAGAGCATGAACATGGGTTTGACAAACCAGAAACTTTTAACAAACAAATACTTTGCCAAAAGAAAGAAGGAAAAATAAGTTTGGTCACTGACTGTAGTCCCAAAGCTGCTCTTGAGAGTGTCCTTGTTTTGATTTAGGAGTGTTGTGGGAGATTCATTTATCTCTCGGTGTCATGACACAGATCCTGCTTAACATCCATTTCTGGTTACGGCTGCTTTGCATTTCTGTTTCACTTAAAGCCACCTTTAACGGGTCGTCCGCCATCCTGGACAGACCGGGGAAGGGGCACATGGACAGCCCACTGCGGGAGCAGCAAGCTCTGCCAGAGAGCTGAGGCGGCTGGGTGACGAAAGGGCAGCAAGGCTGCCCAGCTCCACAGCAAGGCTCGGCACGAGGCTGCGGCAACAGCCAAAAGCCCATTTCCACTGGAGCCAGTGATGTAGGGACTGCATCCTAGGGACCTTCTGGAGAGCAGAAGCACCTATGTCAGGAGTCTTGTTCGTCTCAGCACCTTTTGCAGTCAGCGGAGAGCGAGGGAGAGAGAGGAGAGGGCACCTCCAAAAGGCACTTCAGAGCTGAGGGGCTGAATCATCCTCTCATAGTGCCAGGGACTAAAGAAACTGAGGGTGGCTGAGATCCTGGCATGAGTGCTTCGGGAGAAACAGGATCAATCCAGGCCAGAGGAGCTAAATTCAGAAAAGCACTGAGGCAAAGTGACATTCAGCTGAGCATCGCCTGGCATCTAGGCGCCATGTGGTCTTGGAAAGTCCTTGGCCTTGACTCCCACACATGACCCCTCCCCACGCAGTGCATGGAGGCAGGCGAGGAAAAGTGGGAACCAGAAGATCCCGTTACAGAGGCTTTCCTTCATGGAAAACAAAAAGTTGAGCAGAAAAACACCCAAAAAGGCAGTAGAGACGGCTAAGAAGACAGACGAAGTTAGGTTCAAGCTCTCCTAGTTCTACCAAGAAAAGGCCGTGTGGTCTGGCCATGGCTCTCAGGCATGAAGGCTTTTCTAAAATCAGGTGCCAAAATGAGATCAATCCTTCCTCAAGACATGGAGGAAAAAAATACAACAGACAGACCTAACCTCCCATTCAGTCCCATTGTCCCAAATCTGTCATTTTGCTTGAGAAAACGAAGGGAAAGCAAACGAGTCATAAAGCGCTACCCAGATTTTTCTTCAGGAGCTCTATGAGATTTGAAAGAAGAGAAGAAAATCTTTCCTTGGCCACCCAGTACCAGAGACCTGATAACCTGTATTTAACCAAATGGCAGTAACGACCTGATATATGCAGAATGAAAGGAGAGATGCAGGAACAGGTTCAAATCCCAAGCCACTCACTGGAGCACACAAAGCAAATGATTTATTTGGCTGGTAGAGGAGCAGGTGGGAACTGTGCCCTGACACAGAAAGTGAGGCAGATTTGGGGGTCTGACGTACCATTTGGGCCCCAGCCATGTGTGAGGGGTGGATGCAATCCCTGCAGTGTGTTGGGAACATCCCCTTCGTGTTTCCCAAACCAGGGGTTCTACCAGAAACACAGGGAGCAACGCAAACAATGGCAGGCTCCTCTCTGAGCATCTTTCAGTCCTTAAGAAACTGCCAAACCCTTGAGCTCTGACCTCCAGCGTGTTCCCCACGCAGGAACGGGGGCGGATTATTGGGGCGGGGAGGAAGAAGGGATCCCAGGCACACTGTACCTCTCTCAGCAACACCAACCAGCAGCACATCAGTGCTCTTAGTTAGGCACCAGGAAAGCAGCTGCTTGCCTGCACACCACCACTTACTTATCTCACAGGGAAGCCCAACAAAATCCATCATGTGCCCACGGCCTGAAGCTTGCTCCAGGATCAGAGCATGTGTGTGTTCAACATGTGATCAAAGCTCCCTGTATGTTCAGCGGGATGATGGGAATGGGCTGTTGAGAGAAAAATGACAAATATATCTTCACCTAAATTTCATCTAAAATTATGTATATTACTACACATTCAAATACTTGAGAAGTGGCAGCCGGCTTTATGGTTTTATGTCTTTAGTTTCTTCTGGACCCACATTTTCACGGCTCTCCCTCGAATTAATCATATCCATTTTGTCTTTGACGGACATTTTTGTCTTTTATAGACAAAATCTTTCACTGAAATGTAAATTTCATTTACAGAAGTTTTTTCTGATACAGACTTCACACTGCCTGCATGCTTCTGGGCAACAAGCGATCTCCTGAGACTCGTCACATCTAACTTCCAAACGGTCTAAAACTTAGGTGTCCAGGCCAAATGAGTTGTCCAGGCTCCCTGTCCAGTCAGTGGAGAGAGACAGATGCCTCCAGATGGCTCACATTATAACGGAGGCAGGTAGGAGAGGTGAAATGAGACACCTTTCAGCAGTGCCTACGTCTCGACTGACTAAGGAGAGAACTTGGACAGCTGCTTAGGGGAGGCAATTCTAATTCTAACCCCCTTCTGGACAAGCAGAGCTGGTGAGATGAATCCCATCCAGTGGTATGAGAGGAGAAAGCAATCGTGTGGCACCAGTTCAGGGGACCAGACTTCTCACAGGATGCACAACATTTGTGCATCATTATCACCTACTGAGCAACAGCAGTGAGACTTGTTGGTGTTCCTATAAAAGGAAGAAGAACTCGTGCATATGCTCATGAGCGCACCCAAAAGCAATGCATCAAAAGCAGGTTTTCCCAAAGCCTCACTGCAAATTTAGAATGTGAGTCCAACTCAAAAGGTCTTCCAGTAGGATCTGCTGCCTAGCTTACCTTTGAAAGAACCCCTTCCTAAACTATCATGCATCATTGCCAGCACACGAGACATTTAGTAAAGGATGTTGCCCAGTACAAGCTGCAGAAATCCTAGCTCATGTTTCTGGGTAAAGCAGGCATCAGTGATGAAGCACAGCCCTTGCTTGTATTTAGCTGCTATTGGTTTGTCCACATGACTGACTCTCACCTGCCAATTTCTGGGTGAGTCCAGCACTGTTTCCAACCCCTGTGCCAAGCTCTGTACAAGCCCAATGTGAAGAGAAAAGCAAGTATTTAAGTGGAGCAGTGACTGGTCAGGTGTAACTGTGGAGGGTTTGTATACGATTCTGAAGCGCTAATATAACTGGGATTACCACTTCCAACGGGTGTGTTGTAGCCCCAGGAGAGCCAAGAAAGGCGACCTCTCTGCTCTGATCTGCATGTCCTCTCGAGTCAAGTGGTCTCTGTCAGCCTGCAGAGGGTGCAACTCCTCAGACAGTTCTTATAGAAAACAGGAATGAGTGCTTTTTTCTTTCAAATAGACCTGTCAACCCAAAAAGGTACAACTGTACTCATTTAGATGGTCCTCTGCATTTAGATGCAAGCTGTTTAGTGACAATATAAGGGAGTGAATAATCTCTGCCAATATTTAATGATAAAATTGTTGCAGCATGCTAATCAAACTAAGTTTTCCCTTTGGAGGAACATTTCTATGAGGTACAGAAAGGAGTTCATGACAGCCACACAGAGCTAAGGTAGGTAATAATGTGATTTTGTTGCAAGTTTTCTTCCTACCAGTCTTGCTGTGGCGGAAAACACTACATAATGTGTGTGAGGGAACTGGTGAGTGGGAATAAACGACCGTGCTTTTCTTAATCTTACATAGACCTAGCTTTGGAAAGGATGCAAGAAGTCGATAGAATTCAGTATGCAAGCAGTCAAGCTTTATGATTGCTCGCATACTGAGAGAGCATCTTAGGGTAGGCTGTCTAGGGAGCCAGCATTATCAGTTTTGGCTGATGAGCTGCTAAGCACTTACTAAAAACTCTCCCTAGAAATGAACGCAGAGCATTTATTTCTTTCTTTTTAAGGGAAGAGTATTTTCTTTAGAAGACTCATGTCCTGTTCCTCAAACATATGCACGCCACCCAGGGCAGTGCCACGGTCAGGAGCTCCAAACCTTTCTGCCATGTCTGACCTGGAATGCTGATGGAAGAAAGAGCAACTGATTATAACTGCAGCTAGACTCATTTTCCTCTGCACTCAACCCCCCCAAATACCATGGGAAGCACTAAAGTAGTGATTTGTGCCAGCTTTTCTAAAATCAGGTGCCAAAATGAGATCAATCCCTCCTCAAGACATGGAGGAAAAAAATGTTTGAATGCTGTTGGTATCTTGCTAAAGTTTATAATGGATGGGAGGAGGTGAGGCCATGTTATCAGTGCAATTTGCACACCATGCTTAACTGTGGTTGGGGCTGCAGGGCTAACGCAGTGGGAGGGCTGACATGAGAGAAGGCAGATGTTATATTCTTTTTTTATTAGATGAATAAGTGTTTCTTGTTAAAAGCAAAGAGAACACTTGAAAACC